CGCCTTCCGGTCCGCCTGCTGCGGCCGGCCCGCATCGCTGCGGTGGGGGGCCGGCCTTCAGTTTAGAGTTTAGGGTTTAGGGTTTAGGGGCTTAGAGTTGAGGGTTTAGGGTTCAGGGTCATCTATTCAAAGTTACGACCGCAATGCTTTCCCTTATGTACTGGCAGGATCCAGGACCCCGGCCAACATGCTGGCCCCCCCATGTACTGGCGGTTTCCGACATGAGGAATAGGCTTCCCTCTTTGTTACGGCTTAGCATATGGGCTTAAATAATTACCGATACTATTTTAATTTCGGGGATTCCTTAACAGTATTTACAGAGTATCCCAAAACCCTTTACACTTTTTGGGATAATATGGGGGTTATGAACTCAGCAACTAAGCATAGGGCCTAGAAAGGGGGAGACGGACGAGAGTCTGGGAGAATCTGAATCCTGGGTCCTGCTCTGCTACAAAAATCGCTGCTCAGGTGCATTATGCTGACCGCAACGATAACCGCAGCAACTGGCAGCGCGCCACCTGCTCTGCATTACCCTTTAGGTCACGTCAGGTTGAGTTTTGATCGTGGTGAGTGTTCGTGCAAGCATGCTTGCTTGATTTTACTTTGTCTTCGGTTTTGCAGAGTATGCACAGGTTGGTTTCATACAGTTGAGATTAGAAGACACAGAGCATATGTTCGATGTGTGTAAGCTGATTCCCAGTTAAAGCTGCATGCACTGCAAGGTCTCACGATGGACAGGAACTGCTCCGAGTGGTGTGAAGTAAGTACGGAAAGAAACGGAGGGATGCATTCATGAAGGCAGCTAGACTTGCCAGCATGAGGACCCAGTATGGTAACTCGTCGGACAGCGGCAAACGCAGTGAGGGAGATCCGGTGTCGAAAGGATCTATATATCCCTTCAGTCCCACCCAGAATTTAGTTTCCGAGCTCGCGAGCATAATCATTAGCGGTCGTTGCGGAAGTCTGAGTTGTCCCAGAGGGTCCATCTATGGGTAGTTCCCTAAATCAGGGTCCCTTCTTGGATCCCCAATATAGTATGGCACCCTTAAAACAGGACCCCCCAAACGGAACCTAATTTAGAGAACTACCCATATATCCTGCCATTATGGAGTTGGGTCCCAAAAGAGCATCCTCATTATGGTTTGGGACCTGAATCCATAAGAGTACCTATAGTCTCCATTGTAGTTCTCTGTTGGGGTTACCTCATAGAATTCTCAATATGTAGTTGGTTAAACCCAGAACAGGAACTACACCCTAAACCCTAAACCCTAAATGTGGAACCTCTGGGTGTGGTGTGCCATTTCGAACTCCGAAGCAGCCATAGTCAACCCAGGCCGGGAGGATCCAAATAGTAGATCCCTTAATGGGGGGTCCTAAACAGTGCGCTGTAGTAGTATAGGGTTTAGGGTTTAGGGTTCCCAAATTAAGGGTTGTACTTTCTAGATCCTTCCGGGGGTCTGGGAAGACGCATCCGAACACCCCGAACAGTCATAAGTGCATCGTGGCTCAACGAGCTCCTCGTCTGTTCTGCCGCAGCCAGGGTTTAGGGTTTAATGTAGGGGCCTTAATAATTAGAATAGGGTTGTGGGGGTTCCTTACTATAATTCTAGTATAATATAGCCCCCAAACCCTGTTCTAATTATTAAGGCCCCTATAATATTTTCTAACCATAGATTCCTCTTATGTCAACTTAAACTAAATTAAATCCCAGAGGGTCAAAGTACTCAAATTGTAGGGTTTCAAGGTCCCAAAATACATACTCTGAAAGGTTTGGGGACCTTGAAACCCTACTATTTGGGCACTTGGACCCTTGGGGAATTCCTGAAACTAAACCCTATACCCAACATGGCCGGGAAAATGCGAGTGAAAGTCCCGCTGCACCCACTGCACTCCTAAAAAAACCCTAAACCCTATAATCCGTCGGCAAGAACCCAGCAATCGCTTCCTGAGGCGTATGCATTGGTCGGAAACGTCGATGCGGACATTGCCGGCATCCCAGAGCTCTGCCCAATTTCCCAAACCTCCCCGGTTGCAAACTACAGCTGGTGACATAAATCCTGCATTACCCATAATAGGGTCTACAGGGTTTAGAGCATAATAAGAATATACAGTAATTCCCATAGTTCAGGGTTCTTAAGCAAGCAATAGGCTAACCCCACACCTCATGCCCTATACTCCCCCCTACACTTTCACCCCATTTCTCAAACCGCCTAACACTTCAACCCTTAAATCCCTCAAAACACAAAGCACCTCCCAACAATCTATACAACAATCCCGAAACAAAGCAACCTACCAAACCCAATACAACAATCCAAAACACAATCCAAAACCCAAAGCACCTAAACAATACTTAACCTTATCCATAAAATAACCAATATCCTAACATGAGGTGTGGGTAAGACCCTAATAGAAAAGCCGATAACCCTTGAAACCATTCGCTGGGGTTGGCGACAATGGCGACTTCATCTTGGAAGTGGCGCACCCTGCCTGTTTGAGTGCACTTGCGTCTCTGCCCGTACATTGGCTTTGTCTTGACTGACGAATCAGTGAAACTGTGCTGTCTTGAAATGCTTGCATCAATCCTGACTTCTGTTTTGTGTGGCCATTTCCACGGCTGAGACCTAGGAAGTCCCTTGATTCCACGCAACATTTTGAGACATGGCCCGACGGCAGCTGCGGCAGATGTTTCTGTTGATCCTGGTCATGTTCAGCCACACATGCGTGTTTGTGTCAGAGCCGACCGTCCCCCAAAGGCTTTGGCAGTTGGTGGCTGCCTTGCCACCGCTGAACACGCAGGCTGCCATGGCAGTTCCGGCAACAGTAGTGGGACAGCAAACCGCACAAGACCTGGCGCTCAGAGAGAAACTCATCAACACCATCTATGGGTTTCTCGGCGTCATTGCGACAGCGCTGCTGGGGAACATCCTGAGCTTCGTCACCAGCATCGTCAAGGAGAATAGTGCGACCCAGGCGACAGCATTGAAGACGGAAGTCGCAACATTGAAGTCAGAAGTTCAAGATCTCCGGAAATCAGTTGAGGGCATCAAAGAGAAGATGGTTACCAAAGCCGACGTCGTGACGAAGACGGATACGGCTTTTGTCGTTGTGCTGGTCGGTGTTGGGATGCTGCTGATGAATTCCGTTTCTGTTACTGTGAAGTCGTGAAGCGCGTCTCCACTTCGCAGAAAAAGCCTTAGTTTATGGGTTCGGTCGCACTAACAGGAGCTTTCCTTTCGCAAACCCATTCAGTCTGGAGCGTGTCCGCCACCCTACTTGGAGGTTCATGGGGCTTAATAAGTACAGTTCTAGGTACCTTAAGTGGGGTTATAAGTAATTATAAGTCTAGTTACCTTATTTATAACCCTACTTACTAAGTCCGATGAACCTTTACGTAAACTCCAAATCCCAAACCCGAATGCCTAAGTCCCCAAACCAGAAACCCTAAACGCTAAACCTGCAACTGGCAGCCTCCAGCCAGCTCTTAACTGGGTTCTTTGTTCGCTTAGGTTACCATATCGGGGGTCTAAAGTAGGCAAGATATGACTGCCTTACTATGGATAGTTGAACCACAAGTTCCGCAAGAAAGAACCCAGTTAAGCCCTCTGGAACCCAAACCTCCAAGCTTTCGATAGGACTGATCCTGGAAATTGGGCATTGGGGCGTTCCCACACGCATACATGTCCTCAACAACTCTGCCTTTAGGCCAGTTATTAGGGTTCAGGGTTTAGTTGGCTTTATAGGATTCAGAGCTTATTGGTGTTGAGAGAAGTGTTTGGTCCAGGGCGGGTTCTCGCAGCCTTGACCGGAGTTTTGGGTTTTTTTTGGTTGGGCTTTGGCTGTTCGTGTTCGCAATCCCTGTCCGAGGTTGTGCCTACCACGGTGCACTTCAAGTGCCGCTTTGTTGCCCGACTGCACTGAACTTGAATTGTTTTTGGTTTTCTACCGTTCTCGGGACTTCTGAAGCCCACCATGAGAACAAGGCTCCTGGATCAAAAAGAGGACGGTAAACCGTAAATTCCAAGCCGAACCCCTCGTACACCAAAAGACGAACTTCTGCCTTTAGAGTCGGGTTTAGAATGTAGGGTTCAAGGCTTGGGTATTCGGGTTTTGGGTTGAGGGTTTAGTTTAGGGTTGAGGGTTTCTTATACCGCATGCCTAGAACACAAGACACGCCGCGATTTGGAAGACTGCTCCTGTCTTACCCTCAGATAGCTGCCCTAAACCCTAAACACCCTTTTAGCTGTTGACCTCCACCTCCCTCAAAACCTTAGGTCCAAAAGATTGGCTTCAAGGTCTTGTATAAAGACTTTCTGCAGCATCTGAAAACCTAAACCTACCCGAAACCGCCTCAGCCCTCAAATACTAAACCCTAAACTCCTAAACTTCCTAAACCTTAGAAACCCCAAAGTCTCTACGAATTATTTCGCCCCTGACAGATTCGGCTGACGCTGCAAGAGCCGCGCACCCGCGAGTTCTGGCACCCAGCCGGGGGCTCAGGTAGTCGGGAGGGTTGGGGGTTTTAGGTTTGGGGTTTTGGGGTTGGGGGTTTGGGGTTTTGGGGTTTAGGGTTTGGGGTTTAGGCTTTAGGGTTTAGGGTTTGGGGTTTAGGGTTTAGGGGTTGAGGATTCAGGGGTTATAGGGTTAAGGCGTTAATTTAGGGTTTAGGGTTGAGGGTTTAGGGTTTAGGGTTGAGGGTTTGGGGTTTAGGGTTCAGGGGTTAATTATAGGGCTTAACTTAACCCCCAAACGTTGGCACAATAATGGCCCAAAACCTACAAAAGGCTATTATCTACATACTTTGGGGGTCCAGGTGGGGTTTAGGATTTCGTTTCTTGGGGTTTGGTGGCTGTGGCTTTCGCGGATCCCGGGTCTTGTGTTGCGGGAAAGCTCTAACCCGCTTCCGGGTTTCAAGAGGAACCCTGAAGAAAGGGTTTAGGGTGTAGGGTGTAGGGTTTTAGGGTTTAGGGTTTCCGGGTTTCGAGGGGAACCGTGAAGAAAGTTCCATTGTTGCAGCATGGCTACTTGGAGGTTCATGGGACTTATCTTGTAAGTACAGCAACAAGTACCGTAACTGGGGTTACAAGTCACAGGTATGGTTATCTTATTGAAACCCTAAACCCTAAACCCTAAACCCATGAACCTTGCAGCACTCTGTCAGATCCTTCAAGTAGGCTGGAGACCTCGAACCAAAGACAGCTCCGTTTTACAGTTTCGAGTTTTGGGTTTCGGGTTTAGAAGGGTTGGTTTAGGGTTTAGGGTTTAGGGTTTAGGGTTTAGGGTTTGGGGTCCCTCATGGATCTCGGATCTTGCCCCCCAAAGTCTCGAGAGGACCCTGAACCCATGCTCTGAACCCTAACACCCTAAACCCCACAACCCTACACCTTAATCTAAAACCCTAAACTCTAAATCCTAACACCCTAAACCCCACAACCCTAAACCCTAAAACCCATAAACCCTAAACCCTAAAACCCTAATCCCCCCCACCCTAAACCCGGAAACCCTACACCCTGAACCCTAACACCCTAATTCCCCCACCCTAAACCCTGAAACCCTACACCCTGAACCCTAACACCCTAA